ACAATGGAATTTCAAGGTCGTAAAAGAAAACAATTAAGTAAAATGGCTCTATGTTGACTCATATACACCCACTAAATGTGACCGATTTCGGGAATATTTTACTTATAAATTATCAGTAACAGTCGACACTGGTTGGGAGCCACACCTAAAGACCGGATGACGGGAACTTCCCATCACCCCAAACGCACACTCGATCGAAATAACCTCCTTCACTCGGGCTCATTTGACTGGCCAGCAGGAGTCACCGTCCAATAGTGTGCGAGCGAAAGATAGGCATGTTTGACGCGTTGTTCTGCGCAGTCGATGAGGGGTTACCTTGGCAATTTGACTCGTGCTCAATGCGCTCAAAGTGGATTTAGTAGACCTTCATGACTTAAATGACTTGCAAAAGTGTTCACTCTTGATGCAGAATGTGAAATTCAGTACAGTGGTTAACCGCTTAAGGTGGTCCAGCATTCGGAAAGAGGTCTCATGTACTGATGCTTGCTACCTACCTATCGACATATCTCACTCGAGACGTCGGCTTCCAGAAACCGTTTGGACTGTGACGAGGATTAACATGGATAAGAATTCGGATGTGTAACCTGTGTTTACAATCAATAAGTGATGAGCGCATAGATATTCAGATATAAGGTAAATCAATAGTCAAGTTATTTGTGTATGTAACTTTACGTAATCTTTTAAAACACAATACTATTGACAGTGCTATTGGTCAAAATCATTATTGATATAAACTAGAGTGTCATTGTAGTTTGTTCAATTGTCCACTGAGGTAATATAATGCCTAAAACCACTCAGATCTCCTGGCTATGAGTACATAGATGGAAATTTTAAAATTTACTCAGAGCTAACTAGCACCTAACAATGCTTCATGCAATGTCCATCCCGTCATTTATTATTTATACCGGTTATTGAAGTTCGGGCTCTAGGAACACCCGGCCTTGATGCAATAAAGTGTACCTCTTAAGCTACATTCACCAAGTATTTGATTGGAAATGTCATTTGGTAGCACTAACGGAAACCAGAATAGCTGATATCTCAAAAAATTAAATAATTCGAAGCTTCAAACTGTCTTGGGGTAATTCCATGTGCATGCTAGACAGGTATTCCGAGAGATGAAAGGCGAAATCTGGATTACAAACCTGACAGCTAAATCTATTCTCGGCGTTGCCAATTGTTAAATACGCCATTAATGTGAATGCCTTCGAAGTCATCAATGAAAATGAATTGGGCAGACACTGATGAATCTATAACTTCAGATCTTAAGATGATCTACTAACTGGCAGTGGGTGATTTTCCAAAAAAAACTGGGTTAAAAAATTGATCATTAAAATCAAAATGGAGTTATGGCCATCAAATTTTTCAAACAAAGGTAAGTTCTATCGAATTTTAAACGAAGGAACAGATGGCATGCTGATTCCGGAATTAAGGCGGAGAAGAATTTCCTTAATTCTCAGAATTTCACTCCTGATATTTCAATTCCGATTTGAGTCTGGAGCCCAAATGTATGTATTTTTTACAATGATATGATGAAAGTTGATATATTTGTATTTGTAAATAATTTCGATTGGACCAGTTTTTTTTAAATAGCTACAAACTGTCGGAAGTTATTTGAATTAGTCCCAAGAAAAAAATGAACTATTAAGTTGTAAAATATAAGAAAGAATTATCATTTGAACTTAAAGGCATAATACACTTTTTCAAAGAAATGATTCAAATCAGTTTATTGTGGCGAAATTCTGATTGTACTGAAGCATGTGAGGGCTATTCATTTGAATGAGTGAGTATACGGGCGTCAGTGAACCTTGAACCAATTTGGCAAGCAATGGCCTGTTTGGACAGTTTTTAGCCTTGGGGACTGATATAACACTGAGCAATGAGTTATGGGAAATACATTTGGAGAAGATTATGAAAGGAGGGGGCTCAAAGTAGACCTCTAATGAATCAAGTAATTATGAGGAGGATAAAGTGAAAATGAGGTCCTAGAAGAATGGAGTACAGACCCAACTACCAAGAACGATGAGGGGATAGTAAGTGTCCTTTTTGGGGGTGTGCGATAGACCTACCACCACGTGGTGCACCCTGGGCAAAAAGGTCTATTAACCGACAGTTGACTTCTGACTTCAAACTACCATGGCCCCACTGTATGTCATATTCGATCATTTCAACAGTACTCACCTCACCTTTTTTATACCTTTGTGTCCGTATCTTTTACATCTTTGAAACGTTCTTCAGTTCCCCTCATCTCGACTTTTTCACTTCGATGTTCCTTCCCCTCTGTGAAGTCTGAAGTCAACCAAAGGGCTAATGATAACTATCAAAACGCCCACCATTTGATATAAATAAATAAAGTTTCCTATTTGACCTGATCAAGATAAGGAAAGATATACTAACAAGGCAGGATGGACATTTTTTCCTGAACGTAAATGCAGATTAAGCGAACTTTGCAAATTAACTCGATTAAGTGGATATTTTTCTTTTACCAATTAATTGCCCATCTCATTTGGTAAGATTCAACCTAATTACTAGCGCTTAATCAATACGAAGCGATAAAGAGAACTTTTCAGTACATTTCGTCTGTTATGACAGCGAGTTGTCGGTTGTACTTTAAAAATACTCCACAACTGATGGTATCTCTTTCGTAACTACCGCTCAGGACCAAATGAAGGAGGGTGGAAAACCTTGCAGCTCGAAAGGGAAGACTATTAATTGAGAAAATGAACTTTACTAGGAGAAATAGCTGGCGATTAGTTGTGGCTACAATGAGATTACTTTTCAAAACGTGAGGGCAAAAACCCGATATTCGATAAATCTGTGTGCGTGGGTGTATGTTTAATTTTCACTTTGAATGCGTCGAAACTATTCGATTATATTGAAAAATAGCTGTTAGTGCGTTAGGACCTTAGGAAAAGTTGATTTCACTTCGGTGATGAGGTGAGTCATATAGTCAACCTCGAGTTGATCGTTGAAGATTGTATTCGATACTACTTAGCAATGGAGACATTTCTATTCAACGTCTTTGCTTCAGCAGCACTCAAAAACATTTGTGTGGAAGTGTAAATAAGAGAGGAAGGGAGGAGTCAGAGGAAGGTATGTATTTGTATTTGCTCCAAACAATTTACTAGAAGTTTAGGATATATTTATTTATATCAAATGGCAGTCTTTACGGCAGTTATCATTAGCCCTTTAGTTCACTTCGGGCTTCAGAGAGGGGGGGGGGNGGGGGTGGACAACAAAGTCACCAGAAGTGAAAAAGAGGAAGTAAGCACTGTGGAAGTGATGGAGTATGACATACAGTGGGGTCATGACAGTTTGAAGTCAACTTCCAATTTATGGACATTTTTCCCGTATGTGTATACGTTGCTCAGACTGCGCCACGTGGAGGTAAGTCTATTGCACACCCAAGTTAGGACATGTAATGGAACATGAATGCTACAATCCCACTCTTCCATGCCCACTGGGTTGCAAAGATTAGTTTTTTCCAAAACGAATGTTCTTGCAGAGTCTCCAAGGCAGAGCTAAATCAAATAACCTCAGTTCAACAGGAATGAATAAATGTGATTTCCATTTACATTGATTTTGAGTGCATTGTGATTCCGCCTTCTCCATTGCGTGTGAATTTTTTATCATCTCAGGGTGTTTGTTTTAAAATTATGTGTCAATATTGACATCTAGTAGTCATCCATTGACATTGGTCACTAAGCCACGTCATGTGTTACGCATTTATTGAAATGAATAATAAATACTCTCCAATACTAAACTCCATGGGGTGTGCCATAGACCTACATCCACTTGGTGCACCCTTGGCAATGTATACTCATACAGCAAAAAGATCTATTAACCGGCAGTTGACTTCTGACTTCAAACTACCATGACCCCACTGTATGTCATATTCGATCATTTCAACAGTACTCACCTCACCTTTTTTCTACCTTTGTGTCCGTCCCTTTTACATCTTTAAAAAATTCTTCTGTTCCTCCCCCCTCTCGACTTGTTTTCATTCTGATGTTCCTTCCCTTCTCTGAAGCTTGAAGTCAACCAAAGGGCTAATGATAACTATCAAAACGCCCGCCATTTGACATAAATAAATACTAAACTCCATCAGTTAAGTTCGATGCGGATATTCCAGTATCAGGTACCTACTTTTTGCTTTACATACTACCATGAATAGTGAGGTCACAATCACAGAAGATAATAATAGTGAACACTCAATACGGTTTATCAATCTGCGATCTCAATTATCCTTCTATTCATTTATCCAACCAGATTATTTGACTGCATTAATGCTAAGTTGCCACACAGAGAATCAAATGTCGCTTATTAGGTAATTTGTAAATTTTACCAGTGAAAGGGCTACTTTGTTACCATGCGTGACCCCAATATTTTACTCACCAGAATGCCTCTTTTAAGTCAGTAAATTAACCACACAAATGTGTACATTGACTGTAGCATACTCAACAAGAAATAATCTTATTTAGATTCATTTAATTCTATTTTGAAAACATCGAAAATGTATTCCTGAGCTTGTCCTTCCAATCGACAATATGCACGTCAGCTTGGAAAAGAAACGTGTCGAATTGCGTATCGAAATCCTTAGCGGAGGCGCTTTAAGTACCTGCAATGAACCATTGAATGGCCAGTATGCTGTTATTTATTATATTTTGTCTTCACTAATTTAAATATCAAATAATAAGTGTGATATTACTTTATTCTACCGGATGCACAAGCAACCCGGCAAAAATAGTAGCTACATTTAACTGCTAACAAAAACAATGGATTAATTGGCTAGGTCAATGTTAATATAGTGTAATTTTCTGAATTAGAAATTATAGATTAATACCCTTAAAAACGGTAATTTCCTTTATAAGAAAGTGAATAAAAATTCAAAATCGGAAAATATTTTTAAAGCACAAAAAAGCAAAATATAAGTGTTTTTTTCATAAAAGTGGCATGTATTCTGGAAAAAATAATGATAAAACTCAGGATGACAAAAATAGGAGTCAGTGAGATTCTAAGGTACTCATTATTTGCAACAACTTCGATTCAGTTATATTTCCATTCGCCTCGTCCATAAACGTAGAAAGAAGAATTCGACCCAACTGGGTATCCGTTTTACTCACAGCCTGCACAAACAGTTCATGATGTCTGGTTCCAACCTGTCCAAAAACAACCGAGTTAAATAATGCTACTTATGATCTGAAAGCAGTAGTGCCATTTAAATATTTTTAGATGCGCATAAACTAACCTGGTCAATGCAGGTAAGGGGTAAATGCTGAGCAACATTTTGAGCTTCTTTAAAGAGGACTTGAAAAGCTGCTTCTCTACTAGGTAACCAATCTTGGGAGACAAATCGTCTGATTTCATCCAGTGAGGAAAGAATCTTCGCAAATTCAGCCCGAAAAAATTGTACCTCGGAGTCGGCTGAATGTGGTGGAAATTTTTTATTCAGTTTGACAATGACCTCCGCTAATTGGTCTTCTTTGAAGGATTCCAGAGATAAGTACATTAACTAGACACAAAAAGACGATAAATTAATTTAATGAAAATAAATAACGTTTAGATCAAAAATGACATTACCACTTTATCGGCATGGCTCATATATCTTTGAAGGGGTTTTACATAGGGACTATCAGGCCCGGCAGCAATCGACAAGGCCACTGCAGCATTGGAAACTTCTTCGATAATAATGGACAGCTCAGGATTCCCGATCTTCTTCGATATATCAAGCAAGCGTTTAGACTGCGCGTTAAAGCACCATAAAGTCATACTAGACAACTGTATACCACATTTGCGCATTTCTGAAACAACTAAAATAAATCCTCATTTAATTGTGAGTACGCAAAGCGGTGCCACATTTAAATACAGAAATAAATAACAGCTTAAAGTTTATTTATAAAAATTATATGCTTACTCATCCAAGAAGCCTCTATAAAGCCACGGCGTAACGAAAATACCAACAGAGACTCAAGGAGGTAACGATTATGGCCAGTGTACCATTCTGAAACATCTTCAGTTGTAGTCGGAGATGGTCGCTTTCTCGACTTAAGAAATGTAAAAATGCTCATTCGAATTTGTTGTAATACGCTTAATTTAGCACAAATTCTAACAATTATAATTTTTAAAAAATAGAGCGATTAATTACCATTAGAGATAATTTTACTAAAACTAGAACGCAAAAACACTCAAGCTTAAAATATTATGAAAAAAAGCAAGTTTGAGTCAGGCACATTTGAGGGCCTTCAAACAGACCAATTAAACGTCGACGATCAAAAAATTAAACTTTAATTAAATATTTTCAAAACTTATTTTTAAATCGTTCGAATTGATTCTCAATTTTATAGAATTTATACTATTTATAGTTCAAAGTATTTTATTTTAAATGTCAATCATTTTCACTCTAGGCTAAACAATTTCAATTATTTTCTTGAACATAAGCAACTTGGTCATATGTACCTATTTACTTTAAACTGTGAAATAAGGATGGTAAAGGTTTTAAAGCTCAGTTCTTATTATTACCGTTTTTATAATGAGTTATCATTCATATACTTAATCGATTTTATTCAAATAGTATGCACAATATTTCATTCATACGAAAATAATTTTTTGCACTCATAACATACATATTTCAGAGAGCAGAACCATGTAACAGCAAGCGAGCAATCCCATCGTATACTTACACATATGCATTGATTTTAATATTTCCCCAAAACCTGGTCACACCTTTTAACATTTCTGTCCATAAAACTTCTTAGCTTGGAATTTACAATTGAAGGCCATCTTTACCTTCTCGTCTCAGTTTGTTAGAAAGTATTAGCTTAATCTAAGTTGTGTCCACCATATACTCTCCATAAAATTGTTCAAATAAGTATTAGTGTGTGGCTGTGGTTAGGAGAAACTATAATCCTTATAAAAATATGATTATATGCAATGTTTGATTGCAATAACAAGCATAGCAGTAAAAGTGAATCATTAAGTTAATCTTAAAATAAGACCTTTTTACTGTTAAGCAACGTTCAGTCTTTCCAATCGCATTGGAGCACCTATCTCGGTGATTGAAAACCATAAACCGAATTTTCCAAACGAAAAATTTTAAAGTTCTTTTATAGAGAGTAAAACTGATGGGGATTTGAAAATCCTAATTTAACTTGAGAATTATATTGGTGAATCCAGTAGTTGCTCAAGTTCGTCAAACCCCCCTTTGAATTTGAACCCGTTAATATATTATATTTGACAAAGTTGACAATCCAATTAACCTCGAAATCATCTACGAAAGTGGTGCCGAATTTATTGTTTTATTCAACATGTGGTTGGATTTTAAAACGATTTTGAAAAGAACCATTCTAATCAATAACCACGAGAGCAAGTGATCTAAACATTCTACATTTACATATGAAGAACATATACCACCTTATCAGGGAATTCTTCAAATGAGCTCTAGATCGATGATAAAAATGTAAAATTTGGCTAACCTAATTATCAAATAGCTTCAAAAGTTCCACGCAAACGAACGTCTCTTTATTAGGAGTGTTCGCCTCTTATCCAAACATATCACGTGATTGTTTTATCATCACATAAGCAATATCTATCTAATTTAAATAAACTTCAAGTAATTATTTAATATGAACGAAAATGAAAGTAGAATTCACGTTGAGTAAACTCTAGTGAGCTTTGCCATCCAAAACCTTATAAGGTACCATCAACATTGCTAGCTAAAGAAAAAAAATTGCCTGCCCAGTTATGGCTTCATAATTTTGACTACACTAGTCCTGTAATTCTTACCTTTGATATATGCCTTTGTCTGTGCAATAAATTTTAACTGGGAAGAGACTGAATGAATGAAAAAGACGGCAAATCTTCTATTTTAAAAATATTATTCCCAACCGTCCTCATTTAAGCTTGAGGTGGGTACAACGCTACTAAAGATAATAAAGGGATCTAATGAGTGTGCTGGAACATTGTGGAAGGCGTCGCCGTACTTCGCGAAGCTTAGCGAGCATGCTTTGTTTGTTTGTAGTGGTTACTCAGCTAATCAATAATCGTTGCTACACAACGTAACCTTGTGACAGTTTACCATTCCTATTTTAATCTCTATGCTAATTGTTTCCTCTTCACTAGCTTACTCTGCGAACAATTATACACTGGAAATTTGTTTAAAAGCGTATTGTCAAGATTTAGTCGAGCGGATATTCTGAAGCATCTCCTGCAAGTACTAAGAGAAGAAAAAATCAAACAAGTCATTGTTTCAATATAAAAATTCTGAATTGCTTGTCTCTTTCAATAAGCACATTTTTTGCGTTAAAATAAACCTTTATTTTTCTGTTCTGACATTTCTAGAGTGCGTTTATAAACCATTTAAATGAAATACTACCAACAATATCATACTTGAAGAGATCATAACTCAAACTAGACTGGGTCAAGGGATCATATGCGCACTCGAACATTCTGGAAGGTTCGTCGTGCATCCAGAGGCCTTCTCAAGTCACCACTCGCTAATATTCATTCAAAATTGTGTTAAAATATATTCACGCACCAATTGTGTTTACTATGATCATAATTTGCAGTGAATACTATACACGTTACACATTCACTTTCCTCGATGTTGTTGAGATAGCTTAGCTGTTTTCGGGAACAAGTTTATACGAGAGGATTTAGCCAGCAAGGCCTCACACTACATTGCCTTTTATTTAAAGCAATGGCTACACACGAATGATAGAATACATTATAAAGAATAATTTTTTATTTATTTGACTTAGACTTTATTTCATCAAGGCTTTACATATACTCGTTCATTATTAAATTTGATCAACTTACGTGGTTAAATAATAGGTTGTAGAAGTTAAACAACAAATTTGTAGCAGAAAAACGCAAGAAGTGAAAATTTTTTATTGCAGATTAACATATTAAGCAATATGCAGGAATTATTATAATAAATTCTGAGTATTTTTTTTTCAAGGAAATAACCAATTTGCATATCTATATTATTAAAACAGGCTATTCATTTGCATCCCGTTTCCACCAAAGCAGAAATTGCCCCCTCCATTGTTTCCGTTATTGTTGCCACCCCATCCGAAATGCTGATTGTTCATGTTTATTTTATTATTTCCCGGCTGTTGTTGCATATTATTACCACTGCCCGAGAAATTTTGCATCGGGTTGTGTTGTCCACATCCACAATCACAAGCTCCATTTGCATTTCCAGTAGCAGGCACCATGACAAAATCAATATTTGGGAAGAGTCTTGAGGGGTGTTCAGGAATTGGAAGTCCCGTTAGCTGAGAGGTGAAGGTCATGACTCCATTTCCTCTTCCGCCGTCATTTTGTTGCGGCCCCATCATAGGCCCAGGTCCCATCATGGGTCCGGGTGGTGGTGCTTGGAATGAATTTCCACCTGCAGCTCCCGCACAATTTGGACAATTACATCCTGGCTTTCCGCCAAATTGTTGCCCCTGAGTAGGGCCGCCCATTCGAACACTTTGGAATGGTGGGCGCATGAATCCATCTGATGGCATTTGATGATTAGATCCATTGCCATCACCACCATCGCCCATGCCATGGTTATATCCACCCGGGTTGTTGCTAAAGAGGGCGGCGAGTTGATGGTTGCCACTTTGTTGCAAAGCGCTTTGCTTTGCGCGGTTGACAAATTGAGTCGTGCTATTCCAGTTGGCGTTCATTCCTTGAGGTTGTTGAATGAAAGGTTGGGGAAAGCAATCCTGTTGACCGAATCGGGGACCTCCACGTTGTTGCATTTTGTCGTGAGTCCTAGACTAAAACAAATTAATAAAAGTAATATTCATTTCAAGCGAACAGTGATATTATAATATATCGTCCCTATAAACAACGACGGAAACCCAGAGATACTGGGAAGCCAGAAGTCAAACAATGAACTACTGTTAACTATCCTAAAGCCTAACCATATGTTCCTCCCCCTCCCCATTGTGAAGGCCGAAGTCAACTAAGGGGTTAATGATAAATGTCATAAAGCCTGTCATTTGAAATAATAATAATAATAATAATATATCACGTAGATATAAATAATGTAACAAAAACTGTTTAATTTCCAAATTTTAGATAGTGCATGTTCAGATAATATGCAACGGAAGGAATACATTGGTTAATAAATTAGTAAACGACAAAACAATAGAGGTGGTGAAATCTACCAGCATAATTGAATGAGTGACTAGGAGACAGGAACTCAGAATTTGATCCTTAATCTTAATGACGGATTATGAATACTGGAACTTAAAGTAGTGAATAGCAGATTAACGGAATATTACACAGCCTCAATCCAAACATCAAGTAAGATAACTCATTTGATGATCAACTTTAATATGTCACTAGATTTAACCTACTGAAGATTAGTTGTTAACCATGGCAAAAATGGTAATAAGTTAAGGTATCGCTGTGCTTTAAAAGAACTTGGGTAGTGCTGAACACACACAAAATAGGGATAAGCAACCACGTGAATGAAATTTAGACTAAGTTGGGGGATTCAATAATATTAACAACATTAGATCGTATGGAACAAGGAATGACACAGAGGTTAAAGAAAGAAATAGGCAAAAGGACCCTATTTGCCACTTGAGGGTGTTTGAGCAGCGATCTAAAACTCCTCTGTTGACAACCGTTTGTCAAGTTCATTTGTCTTCAAATAGATGAGGTGACACTTCCAAGTCCACTTAGTATATCCTTGATTGGGAAAGTGTGATTCTCGAAATAAAAGGAATACCGCAAACTCTTCCGTTTCTCGTTTTTTAGTGCCTTTAAGTAAAAAATGATCTTAAACTCAGTATTTGCTCAAACGAGCGAAAATTTAAAATGTGAGATAGAGATTCCTTCTAATTCCATTGTATTAATCAAATAATAGTAATTTTGGCCAATACTAACTCGGAGGTACTATCAACTCTCCAACCAAGCCCTGTGTGTTTATTATCAACTTAAACGGTAAATTCTAACCGATTCTATACTTCTAAGTAACAAAATCAAATTTTTAACATAACACTTGTTTTGATTGGTGGGTAAATCCGAACACGAACTCACTGCTTATAGACGCATAGACTGCGATGGGAAGATTCAAATACATCTTTACCATAAAAACTTACGCATGGAAACAAATTTTAACATAAATTAAAACCCCAGGTTAGAAGGAGTGTGAAAAAGGCATTCTATAATTGCCTTAAATCTTCACGATCGATAAACTGCTCGTTAGAATGAACAAAGCACAGTAAACAATTATTGAAAGTTAATAAATCGATAAGACCGATGTATGCATTATTATAGAATCCAGATGAAGGTAAAAGGTATGAAGATTAACTGTTAGAGAGGGGAACATACGTGTTAACTGAAGGTAGACAAGCAAAATTGTGCTTTACTGTCTTGGTAGCGCAGTTATTTCTTTCGCTTTAATTTCGCATTTCTTCTACGTCGATGTCGTCTTCTCTCCAACGTAAGCGGATTGAACTCAGATGACACATTCAGCTGCCATGACCTAAGCTAAGACAAATTACGAAAAGTGTGATCGCTTATTATCAAATACGACGTTGCATAAACAATTTTTGCGAAGTATTGTTTAGTTCATTTAAGTGCAAATTTCAAATTTCCGAAAATTTTCGAACATCTTACAAAAGACCGACTTCTAAAGTTTTTTTGCGCAAAAAAAAGAAAAATTAGGCCAAATTTTTTTTAGTTGCGCAGATATTACACTTTGTAATGATCGAATCTGTTTAAATTATAGAAACCTACATTGTCATGGTTGAATAACAATAAGCCTAAACTATTGCAGGATATTAGAGATCTACTAAGACTAATGGACTAATCAAAGAATGCATCTTGGAATTGTTTATTATTACCCGAGTAACGGGCACGAGTCCACAACTATCGGAACACCTATAACAGAGCCTTTTCCATTTTTTTCTACAATGAAACCAATTTCTGCAATCGAACAGTCTAAGAGGTAGGTCGAATTCCTTCCTTGAAACAAATTTGGAATTTGTAAGATAGAGGCTAGAAGAGGAAAAGGCATTTTCGTAGGACTTTTGTGGGATAATCTTATGACATTAGTAAAATTATTCTGGAAGATGCTTATTAGGGGGTTCAAAAGCACCGAATGTCGACTTGATTTTGTTGCGTTGTTCATTGATTGAGCATTCGGTTAGGAAATCTAGATCAATTTCCACTTACAATCAGATAACAATTTCTCGTATAAAGAATTTAATGTTAAGTGGTATCGCAACAAGCCACTGACAAATTGACTTCGAATCATGTGTAGTGCTATAAGCTTTAATTAACAGTAAAACATAGAAAATGAGTTCCAAACAGAAATAAGTTTTTTTCATTTGTAAATATAATAATTTTTGTGAGCTTCAATGAGGACCCCCCGTCGGTATCATTGTTTCTCACCAACACTAGGGGGGGGGGCACGAAAGAGTGCCTATTTGGCAGATAAATTATGAAACGCCAAATTAAAGGCGATCTCTTCGTATTCCAAACATCAGGTAACTTCGCTACTCATTAACTAAAGTGATGGCATTTTACAAATCGAAGATTCGTCAAAACACCCTTCTCAAAATCTACTTATGTTCATATTTTTATTTCAAAACCCGATGTATTTAAATGTGCAAGTATGACAAAGCACGAAGCAAAATAGTTGATTTCGGTGAACCAAGGCAATATCTTTTCAATGAAAGTATCTGTAGCTGTTAACATAGTTCACGATGCCCAAATGAAGAACTTACTAAAAAATAATTTTAAAATCTGGACAAATGCTGAAATTTTATATGCTATATTACCCTATTTATTCACTTGTATTTTTATATAACATGAAACTCGTAAGATTATTTTAAAATCGATTCGAGGCTACAATTCCAGCAAAGTGATGCAAAATTTTCGATATTTACCCCTCAGGGAAAGCAAGTCTGCAAAACAATGAGGCTGTATTTATCCATTTTGGAGCTTATCTGCATTTCGGTTTATTAAAATTTAATGATTTTAAAATCATCTCTACCTAGTCTATGTAAATTAGTACGACGTAAAATATTTATTTATTTATTTCAAATGGCAGGCTTTGTGATATTTATCATTAGACCTTAAACTTTGACTTCAGCTTCCTCTAAGGGTGGGGGGGGGGGAAAGAAGAGTGTTTCAAAGATGTAGAAGAGACGGACACAAAGGTCGAGAGTAGAGAAAGGAGAGTACTGTGGAAGTGGTGGGATATGATATAGAGTGGGGTCATGATAGCTTGAAGTGAGAAGTCAACTTCCGGTTGATAGACTTTTTGCCGTTTGAGTATACGTTGCCCAGGGTGCTCCATGTTGAAGTAAGTCTATCGCACACTACACTACTTAAAATATTTAAGTACATTAAAATTTTATTATTGAGAAGCAATTTAAGTGACCCATCGACGGCAAGTCACGAATCACAGAAATATCTCAGCTCGCTCAATCAAAGTTTCCATATTCTATAAATCAAAGGGACGTCTTACAGCAAGGCATCTGCTAGTAAGAAACTCGTGATGGAAAATTTTCTTGGAAGGTAATCTTCCAGTTGAATGTTGCAGCTCCTACTACTGAAATACCGTGTTTAGTTTTGTGAGTAGTACCTGCAGTACGGTTTTGTTAATTCCCATCAGAAATGCTTGTTGTGTTTTATCTCCTCTACCCTACAGTTTGCACCTGATTTAGATTCGTAATGAAATTTGATCACAACAAATAAGCGTAAGAAAGTAAAAACGTTTATTCATCTTACGATAATTTTACTTCACTCATCAGTATTTGAGGTTGTGTCGGATTAGCTGATTTTGATATAACTCAGCTACCCATATTTTTTTAATTTAAGGTTCCATAGCAATGTACATGAATGTCACCTAACGTGCCATTTTATGCTGCTAGCCAATGTCATTTTAGTGAGTTTTCTTGACCCTGTTAATCGCATTCCCCTTAATTCACCTTTCGTCTTCCAGTCTCCAATGTCCTCTATTCAGGTGGTACTAAAATCCATCGGAAGGGCCTTTAGAAAGCTTATGTGTGACATTGAATGCTTGCTCTGGGGCTAACTCAATCTGACATGAGGCAGATTTACTACTAGAATTACTGCTTTATTCACCAACAGTGTACTTCTATTAGGGGAATCTATCAAGTCCAAAGCATACTTTGTGCTTGACCGCTAACATGGACGGGGTTAATTTGAAACCAACAACGCAATGGTGATCTTAACTGCGCAACAGCTAGTTAATCTTAACTGACCCCCTAAAAGACGGCCAGCGTTTAGTGAGCTAAGTGATGCAGCATGACAGACATCACGTTAAACGACTTGAAGAAGGCCGTGTTACTGGCTCTTGTTGGCAAAATGATATGCTGTTGTTGTCGTTGTAACTGCGGATGTGGTGGAGGCGGTGGGAGATGTGGATGCGGAGGTGGATGTGGTGGTTGTTGCTGCGGATGTGGACAACAGGGAGAAGCTTTTGCTTTAGACCTATTTTGAAATGTCATTACCTTTCAACAGAAGTTTTTATTTGTGATGACTGCTATTATACTTTACTATTTATCTGCCATTTATAATGCCAACTTTGATTCGCATAGTGGAAAGATCACATTTGGCCCACTTACTACTTCTCTTATTGTTCTGTGCTATTAGTCAACATTTTAATAAAACAAGAGCTCTTCCATTGAAACCACTAGATCAATTGCGTGAGCTTCCTGACCAGGACATATTGAATGTCAACTCTATAACCAAAATAACTGAGTTCTATGAGATCTGTTGATATGGGAAAGATATTACTTCCATTCTTTTGCCTCTTTAGTTGGAAGACAAGGGTAAGTATAATTATTCACGTAATCTTATTATATCAATAAAATATCCATCAAATTCAGTGTATGACCTCAAAATCTCATAATATATGTTTATGCTGTATGTTTCTCCAAGGAAATAAGAAGCCACATGTCCTGACGAGCACTTATCACTCAAAATGGCTGCTACAATTGACGACTATTCGATTTTCTGATTAAAAATGGCAATCAACTATATTTCCCTAACCTTAACTGAAAGTAAATCCAGAAATTGTCCTTATCTCAAGGAGTAGGTTAAATATATCAGCGCTCATATACAATTCGGGTTTATGTTTTTTAAAGAGTCCTTTTTTATTTTCCTGCCGAATTGACTGTTAGACATGCCAAGACTTCATGACTTTAATTGGGAAAAAAAGAACAAATGAATTCTGAAACTCAAAGTGGTAATTAAATCCCCAAACTCCGAGAAACTGAGGCCCACGTAGAAGCTCGATGATTCCACTGAGACAAGTCCTGTTCAGATGTTTATTATTACGCCCTTCCATATTATAATACGCATGATAAATACCAGAGACAATCTGCCTTGAGTTATAAGTGGAAAATCACAGATAATAGTCAACTACTAAGTATTCCAAAGGTGATCACAACTAGAGACTACTCGGAACATACAACTAGGTGACACACGGTTGGAGACTGATTTGAGCATTTAACAATTCCTGTCAGTTTATTAATTTGGTAACGAAAGTGGCCTGTTGCTGTTGTGGCCACGGCTGTAGCTAAATCAATTTATCTTTTTGTCAGTTTCTAAATATGTATCCACGGTTGCAACATTTCGAATGATTTAAGGATGAGCATTGAGATTAATTTTACTATGAGACTAATTTTACTATGAAGTTTTGGGATACAAGGCAAATCAAATATGAAAGCAAAATGTTCATTCTATGAATAAATGGAAACTTTATTTATTTATATCAAATGGCAGGCGTTTTGATAGTTATCATTAGCCCTTTAGGGGGAGGAACAGACAAAGTCTCAAAATGTGGGGGGGGGGGGGACGAAGAGAGACAGACAGGCATAAAGGTTGAGATAAAGGTAAGATGAGTACTGCGAAAGTCGTCAAACATGCATTACTGTGGGGTGAGGGTAGTTTGGAGTGAAAAGTCAACTGCCTGTTAATAGACTTTTTTGCCATATGAGTATACGTTACCCAGGGTGCACCACATGGAAGTAAATCTATCTATTACACTTCATTCTGTGTAATAAATGAGTAGAGGTATTTGACGTATCAAGAAAGCCGAAGTTATTAAATCATCGTTAGTTCCTCCCCCCCCCNGCACATTAACCTGTAACCCAAAGTGGTAAATTGACATTGAAAACAAAAGATACAGTGTTCACAAGTACCTTAAAATAGAATTCCACTAAATACTGACAAACAGAGAACCAAAGAATTGAAAATAGCTGATTTCTTAGAAAATCTCACAAATTTAGTATAGAATGCCTCCAAACTGATTGGAATTGTTCCATTTTCTTACATTTATGAGTGGAGCCAATCATCATAAATGCATCTTTTAATAATTTCATAAACAAACCTAATTGAAATCAGAATGAAATCAGAATGAAATCAGAATAAAAATACAGAAAATGAAATAAAGTAAATGAAAATAAATTTTATTTTAATAAGAAATTTTGAAGAAAAGACTATTTTATTTAATCTCCAGTTCAATAGAGATAAATGAACTACAAAATCGAAATAGTTGATTTTTAAGTAAGTAATCTTTATTTATACTCCGCTTTATTTATTTATATATTTCATTTTTATTCATTTCATATACATAAGTAATTGAAATCAATAAAGGGGAAGTTTGAGTAATCAAGTTAGCAACAATGACAGTGGTGAAGGTGATGACCGCAAGGACTCCTACCGCAAATGCAATCTCTGATATTTCTGTAGACTAGATAATAGAGAAGGTAACTCTTAATGTCTTCGGGGGTAACTGGATCGGGAGCGGCGGCGGCCATTTCAAGGGATTTCCGATTTCGATTTCCGATGGCCGCTGCACTGTGGTTTCCGCAATATATACACTCTTTGAGTTCCCATTTGAGGTCACCTGTTGATGATCAGCTGTTGTGAGTTTGTCAATTTTCACACAGGTCAAGTGGACTGTGGGAAAACAGTTCTGGTGAAAAAGAAAAAGCCGTGGAAAATGAACTTCGTCGTGGGATCACATGCCAAAAAAGTTGTCACGAGTTTACCTCTTCGCAAAATAGTCGGGAAAAGCAAATTTGTACTATAATAATAATAGTAATAATAAAGTATTACAGTAAAATATATATTTGCAAACAATTGTAACAAATTTGTCATTTATCATTGTATTTATTATAAGTTTAAGTGCTTTCCAGTTGAATACATCGAAAAATTATTAGAAAATCTAAATATTAACAAGGACAACAGAATTATTGTTTTGCCAATTTTGAACTATAAAGAACGCACTTGATACTTTACGATCTGATTTGTTGCCAGATATCTGAAATGTTATTCAATTTGTAGCGGATTGCTACCTTAGTAAAACCTGACTGACTCAGAAATCTCTGTGGCAGATTCTCCAACATCTAGCTAGACTCCCAGAACCAGCTAAGCTATAGCCCGCCTATAAAGGAAACAGACGTGTAGCACGGAGCACGTTTATTCAGTACGAGTATTGTGGATAAAGTGTACACGCAGGAAGCTTAATCATGACCATAAACAAACAGAGGTTAATGATTGGTCACTGTTTGTACGGAGCACCTCCCAATCCTGCCGTGCAGGCATGCGATGACGTGTCCCGCGTGCAGGCATGCGATGACGTGTCCCACAATTTTTTCGATGAAAATGAAATAAAATTAAGTGAAATTAATTAACAAGCAGTCGATTGCAAGGTCATTCCTACCAAGTGGCACTGTGAACTTAATTAATTAATTAATAATTATTATTAATCATTAAAATAAACTGCTTCAAAATGGTACGGCTTTGGTATATTATTGTTGATGTGAATGCATAAAGTATTTGTTCAAACTCGATAATTGAAACAGTAGCTCATCAGTCAAGTTTGATAAAGGCACGTATTTGTCGAATAATGCTACGTAAGAAAGACCACTGCACCATTAGAATAGTAAATCACATTGGTCGACTTAAAAGAGTACTCAAAATGAACCGATTCGAACTTAATCCCAATTTTAATTCCCAACCCTGTGCATGAAAGTATTTTCTGACAATCATTTGAGAAAAAGGAGCAAAAGCATGGAGCCTCACTGGTGAAGGCCTCGAATTCTGCTATCTTCTATTTGAGACAGCCTTGTTCAGTGTAATTGGTCATTCCATCACTGGGTGCGCATCGCTGTGAACTAAACCCACGACCTCTGGCTTGACAGACGTGATCAATTACCAATGGGCCATTGTTCGAGACTCTGATACCTTTAAGTTTCTCCACGTTTAGTGTAACTCAGCAATGTGAGAGAATGAAAACTTTGGTATCTGATGCGCATGTTCTGTTTTGCTTTTCTTCTATGACGATTCCACAACCAACATACAAATCCGAAGTTCTGCCTGAAATCCATAGTTGTTATCGAAATTCAAACTTGTGCTCCTGTGAAGTGTGCATTCACTACCTTTTCATCGACATTCCCAATGATGAAGTTTCAACTAAGATGCACTTCTCCTGAAATGTTCAATCTTGTACTTGTGTCGTGGTTGGTGCCTCCGTAATGACTCCCGGTCCCAACTATCCTCATTATATGTGCAATATCAATAAATCGAATAAATTCGTTTCAAAATTTAACTTCTTATTTATTCATTTTAAAAAGAATATTTATTTCCCATTTAAGGATTTCGTCAGTTAACCTAGTGAAAAATGTTAGAAATACCCCGTTCATTTTGAGTGAATACAGATCACGAGGTGCTCTATCTCGCCTTGTTATTTTGTAACTGTAAGTTGATGAATAGTGTGTTGCATAAGTATGTTCTCTCAAGTATTGGGGAAAAATAAACACTGAACTACAACATCGACCATTCTTGATCAGTGACCACTGTCCCAGTAGGTACTAAACAAGACTGACAAGGATTTCCGATACTCCGGAGACGAACCGCACAATTTGAAGAATGGAAAGTGAGCTGCCCGTTTTGAAAATTTTATCCCAGTCACAGATATTCAACTCCTGTTCCTTCCAATAATTTTAAATTTAAAAGTTTTGTGTTACTGTGTGTTCTAACATTAATAATAATGACAAATTGGGGGAATAATTTCTTCTTATGATATAGCACTTTCACTACTGTTAGGAATAGTGTGTTTAGTAATTAAAATTGAGAGAGTACAATAATGCCTTTTGTAATTTCCCGATGTGAAAATGTTCCTTTCATCAATTTTAATGGATTTTGTTCTTTACGCAGACATGAGCCGTCATAGGGACTAAATTGTTGAACATAATTAGATTTTGTCTCTTTGCAACTAATCAATGTTAAATTTAGTCAACTCAATAAAACAACTATTCGATATTTCCGAGCAAGTGTTCTTAAATGATGGCAGATTTGCCTAAATGAACATGTGACATTCGTGTAGTAAAACTAATTCTAACCCTGGGAATTGAAAGTCAACTGAGAAGAGGTATTTCGAGAAATCACATTCGATTTTTTTTCACAATGCCTTTGTGCGGAAAGAGATCACCTGGTATAATAACATTGAGTGGGGTGAGTTGGAATCCCATTGGAGGTTCAAAACGGTCATCAGATTATACTTTGTGGCAAGAGTATATAAATATTTCCGGAAATATCAGATCGTGCAAACTAAAAAAATGTCAACTCCAGTCACTAAGTCTGATTTGGTGCGATATGTGTTATATTATCTCATATTTCGACAACTGACGGGCATGCGTCTATAGAGTTTTCCTCACTTTTTTTCTGGAAAACTTAATCGAAATACGTAACTGATATAACTCGCACACCCAACTCCAATTCGCACATTGAAAATATGTAAGTGAATTATAATTTACTTGAGTTTGACGAGTCTTAGTGATGGTACGTATTTAAAATTACCTGTTTTTAATTGTTACAGTAACGACTGCACGATCTTAGCTTTTAATCGAAAATGTCACTTTATTTAAATTATTGTTGCTTTTCAATGCACAAAAGGCAAGCAAATATATACGGTTCTTAAATATTTGTAATTACTTATGTTCTTTTAGAAGAATAAAGAACGAAGTGAACCCATCAATTTCAAAATATATCGTGAAAGCGTCGCTCTGTCTACAACCAGACTTGCAGTTATTTTTTCATTATTTAATATTAGTTAATTAATATTAATATTTGATATTAACTAATAATGAAAGATTAATGTATTTCCCTTTAATAAAGTTTATTGTGTGCAAATATGATTTGTGTGTAATGAAGTTTTAAATAAATCCATAATAATCTAGAATTTATTAACGATAGACTCAAAGTTTGGGGAATTAAACGATATAATAGAGATGAATTGAAATGCTGACAAATAACATTATTCTTAAATACTTATCTATAAATTGTACTGAAATAATGAAGTTCAAAATGGTAATTTGGGAGTCGGTTAATAAGTTGCGAAATCTCTGTCTGTCGACTATGGCAAAATAAATTTGACTACTCGAATGAGAAAAAGAATTTTAAATTCGAAACTTGTGGCGGATACTATGTAACTAAGCGTCGACTAAACGCTCACTGGCAAAATCCTCCACTATACAACTGTTTCCGACAACAGAAATGAGGAAACCGATAGTATGAGTGAATAGTGTTTAGTTTTATTCTGGAAAATTGCAAGTATGATCGGTAAGGGAATAAAATAACTACAACTTTAGTTGATTGCTAATCGCGATGATCCGAGATGACTTCTTCAAGCTCAACCACATTTACCCAACGCGATAGGACTTATCTTAATGTTCTAGTTCACGAGAATGGCTTGGTTGTCCTTGATAGCGTGGTACACGCCCCAAACAAATAGCTACTGTTGAAATGGCATTTAGAAATAAAATAATTGAAATTAACTCCGTCGATAGCAAACAAATAAAGATATCTACTTAATAAAACTACTTTATTTTCTTCAAAATTGCATCTATTTTGGAGAAAGACAAACTTAATATGAACTAGTTGAGCCATATAGACAAGCGAATTGAATATGAATTTAACAACAAAATTTATTAAATTATTCTTAAACAAGAAAATTGTCTGCAATTATATGTTTTCCGTTTCAAATATCTGGCTTAATCTCTATTAAGTCTGGGCAAAAATAAGCCAAGCAAGTAATTTGTAAATTAATAAGCTAATAAGGCAATTGCAGCCGTCAAGTGACCGTCCATAAAGGTAATTGCGTTTTTATAGGTAGAAAAATTGAAAATTTATGCAGTAATAAATTTAAGAAAAGAGTTAAAGGACCATTCATAAGATATAGCAGCCATTAAAATTTTCCACTCCAGGGTCCACTTTCTGTTGAGTTCAAGGCCATTTTAGTCGCGGGCTGTTTAGTGACTATCATTCCTAACTAGGTTGCCTCTCTGTCTATAGTTTTCAATAGCAATTTTATCACTATGGACAAAAGTGGCAACGATTTTGCTGTTGTTATACAGGAGTTTCTTGATCTCAAATCGAGGCAGGAAAGTTCGTCAAAGCCGTGTCTAGATGAATGCCTTATTGTAAGTTAGTAAGATATATATATATATATATATATATATATAATTATTTTCGTTCACATCATTTATGAATTTAAGTATTTTTATTTTTGCACTAAAATCGTATAATCAATCGTTCGTTTTTATATCCACCGGAATGCATAATTGAAAGTTGAGGAGCCCTTTTCACTTCTTCATTACATGTTCTTTCTTAAGGCATTCGAAGTTTCTCTTGTTCAAAGTTGGGTCGATTTACCTCGGATTCTTGCGCTCATAAGGAATGAAAATAGTCAACAGACAGTGTAAATCCTTATTTCATACTTTAAATTCGTATCATTCGAATACTTTCCCATGTTTTCAACCTTCCAGACTTTTCATCTTCGTTGGTTCTCGTATTGGCGACACTGTTGTAAGCTACTTGACTCCTGAAAAAATGCTAGCAGTTGATGAAATGCTAAGTTATGAAACAGGTTTGCTGGCTCCTTAGTATTTACTAATTTTCTAGATTCGAAAAACCCGACCATTCTTCGTATCGTTGGTCATGATATCACCTCTTCGAAATCCGATTTCGATTTACCCGGTGCAACCCTTCCGCATTCTATTAATCAAACTCCATCTAATCTTCAAAAGCGGCGTACAATGTTTGCTGGGAATGGTCCAATCGGTTCAAATACCGGAAAGGTAAATTTACCTTATCTGTTCTGGTTATTTGCGATCGATTGTTATAGGGTAGATATTGTAACCTCGTTTTGGGATTTGACGATGCCACCTCAGCCAATCAATTTCGTGCACAATTGGCCCTTATTCTCTCTCAACATTCCAATGACACTTCTCCCTCTATTGCAAAGATGAAAGAAAATCGTCAATGGTTGAACAAGTACAGGTAAATCGTTTATATGGCGTTCATTTTAAAACTAGGAAAAAAATCCTGAAGTAAAGATTGCAATTAACTTCCACCAATTATAATTAATAGATGCCCACCAACCATTATATTTTGGCATTATTTCTTGTTTCTAATTTGTGGAATACCGGCATTGTCTTCTCGTTTTTTATTTTACTTCTCATGTATTATTAATGTCAATAGTTTTGACAAATTCCCTATAATGGTTTTGCACTTTGCCATTTGCTTTGTGCACTTCTTGATTGGCATCTCTGAGTTCATATTCGACTTAATTGAAACGATCACATAGTGCTCTGATTCTCTGGTTTGAAGACTTAACAGCACGAGGATTGGATAATCGAAAAGACCTCCAATTTAATTAAAAAGTCGTCCAATATCCCTTTCCTTCATTTCATTGAAATCAAGCAATTACACATGCTCTGGTCTTTTCAGATCCCAATTTGTTTTGAATTATTCTAAAGTTGATACCATAGCGGATAATCTAATTTTAATTTTATCGCCATGTTCAACGATTAGAATACGCTAACATGAGATTCGTTGGCCGATCTTTTGAATGTTTAAAACAATATCTTAGAGATTTTTCAAATGGATGAACTTGATAATTGTCCATCCAGAGATTAATATGGATCATAGGTTTACACAGTGTGTATCTAGAAAATGTTATTTACAGTCTTAGTATTCGAATTTATTCGAGTGGGAGATTGTGGGATGAGGGTCTCTCACCAAAGGAGCTTCTTAATTCAATTCCTCCACTCAGAAAGAACATATTTGGTGATGGATATGATTACCACTGCTTGAAGATTGACAAGCAGAGCTTGATGTCTTGCTTAGCACATACTATTGACCCTATCAAATGAACAGTTTGTACATACCAATGAGGGCTTGATCTTATGAACTCTCGGAGGGGTTGGTCTAAGTCTCTAGCTATCTTTGTCTTGAAATAGCTTTCGGGATAGAAAAACGTAGAATTTCATCAAGAAACCAGGAGCAAAACCTCTAAATATTGTACAATGCATTTGCACATGTCACTACATCTTTATCTCCAAAGTTACGTCGTCGAATCGGAGTTTTGACATTGACTTGCTTCTATTCCTTCACATAAGACCAAATGATCCCTTGGAATTTCCACAACGGTGTCGTGATTGAGTCTCAAATGTATATAGCTCTACAAATATCTTGTTTCCCAATGTACTTTTAATGTAATGCTCAACATGGACACCTTGGGTTGAAACTACTGTTGTATTCCAAGAGAAATGAAGTCATTACTCATGTCTCCTAATAGGGCGAAGTAATTAAGTTCGCGAATTTGCTTCATTCTATTAAACCCACTTTCTTCATGCATGATATATCTTGTATCCAATGGGGTGATCGTCATTAGGTTACCTTTTTTCCAAATTAGAGCTGACATTGAACCAAAACGCGTCGCTCGTCTTTCTAATTTCACCACCAATGCAACTACTGGGGCATCAACATCTTCCCGTCGAGATTCCCATCATCATCTCCACACTGCTCAAAGTTCTGTGGACTTTAACGGGACGGGCAAACAACGTGCCTCCGTTTCAAGCCCCATCTCTTCTCATTCATCATCCCTCTCCTCGTCTTCAATATCATCTATCTCAACACCTTCCACATCAAATATCCCCAGTGAAATAGAGAGTGAAGTAACTGACAAAGCGGTGGTCCACGATTTAGCGGAGACGAGGTTTCATCGATCTTTGTCGGTGCCGGGATTTATTGAAGCCGAGGAGGGTTTGGTTGGGGAGAAGGAGGTGAGGTCAAATGCTGTTGAGTTTGAACAGGGCGAGGATATAGTTCAACACGATGACTGGGTGACGGGAGATTTAGGGACTGCTGAGTCTCTCATTCCAAAAGAGGTGAATCCAAGTTTCTGTTAGAGTTTCAGCTCAAGATTCCAAATTACTAATATTTAATCGACAACATTATGATTGACTGGATTTTACAAACGATTTCATTTTTTTAAAGTGTTTACGATCATATGATGTAGACGATATTAATCTAACGGAAGAACTTGACTCTTTTGTTTATATCGCTTCCAAACCAAATCTGTTGGTGGTGTTAATATAATTTGAATATGAAAAGGGAGAACTTGCCAAGGCTTTTTTAATAAAGATCTAAAATTAGAGCAGGCATATAAATAAACAGAAATGGAAATGATATTTGTAGGATTTACAAAATATATTAGTGTGGAACGGCAGATTTTATTAGAACGCGTGTCCTAAAGCCATTTAACTCAATAAATTTCGATGCATAACCTTTAATTAAAAAGGACTCCCTATATCGATTTAACGTTTATCATCTTAACAAACTGGCTGCCTTGCGGCTAATCCATTGGAAAACACTGCTGCATAGTTATATTGAGCCCATCTTTACTGATAACTAGATCAAAGATTTTCATTTTTCAGGCTGCGCCTACCCCGGTGGAACGCAGGACATCTTCAGAGGGATCTAATGAGGATACGCACTTGGGGGAAGGCATCAAAAGACGGTAAATGTTTCCATTTTGAATTACTTAAATTGCCAACATTATTATTATTATTATTTCAAATGGCAGGCGTTTTGAATAGTTATCATTAACCATTTAGCTGACTTCGGGCTTCACAGAGGGAGAAACATCAAAGTGAGAAAAATTCGAGAGGGGGAGCAAAAGAGTGATTCACAGATGTAGATGAGACAGACAGACACAGGTAGGGACAGAGGTGAGGTGAGTACTGTGGAAGTTGTGGAATATGACATACAGTGGGGTGATGGTAGTTTGAAGTCAGATGTCAACTGCCGGTTTATAGACTTTTTTGCCGTATTAGTAAACGTTGCCCAGGGTGCACCACCTCTTGAAGTGTTAACATGTACCATTCTCCTGAGGAAACTAAGTTACTGAATTCCTTTAAAATGTAGTTCTGTATTGATCATTGTTGTGCATGGAGAGCACCTCCGGTTTAGTTCACATTACTTTTACTGTGGCAACTACAGCTGATTAGATGGACAAATTAGAGATTTTTGAGCACGGGGAGTGCTTAAAGCGGTCAGGTTGCTGCAAATAGGGAGGAATAGCTATATCACGTCACGTTAATTCTATTGCTAGATTTCTTGAAAAAGGGATGATGTTGTTATTGGCAATATGCCTTTGCCTGTCTTATTCATGGGAAGCAGCTCACTAAATTGTACTCAACGTGGTTGACGTTTTTATTACTAGTTGCCTACTGAGGTGGTACTACGGCTTTCGTTGCTCAGACTTAATACAATGATGGAATACTTCTAACGGTAGATCCCCTGTTAACAAAACACGAATTTGATTGGCTGTTCGGTTTGAGAATATGGTAATCTTGGAGCTGAGTTGCAGAGGAACAAATTCTTGTCATGAACCCTTGAAATACATCGTTTTCGCCTTAATAAAACCACAATTACCCAGATCCTGGGAAGAAAAAGGGGGGTAGACGCGAAAGTTAAGCGTCGGTAGTTTTATTACGAAAATCAATAACCAATTATTGCAGCGATAATTGCTTCTGTGGCAGTCTTTCGTAGTGAGGTGTGAACACAGAAATCTTATAGTGCTCTAGTGCACTTGAGATGTGAAGTTTGTGATCTATACACGTGAGCATCAAATACATTCGAGTCGATTTCCTAACAATGCTTAAAGTCCTCAGCCATTTCCGCTCCGTCGACTGCTATTTATTTATGATAGTTCTCATTAACCCTTTAGCTGACTTCACAGTGGGAAAAGTCGAGAGGGCAAAGAGAAGAGTAACTCGCAGGCACAAAGATAGAGAAAAGATTAAGGTAAGATAGGTACTGTGGAAGTGGAGGAAGCTGACATACAGTCGGGTCAAGGTAGTTCGAAGTCATAAGTCAGCTGCCGGTTTACCGGCTTTTTTTGCAGTATGAGTGTACTTCACCCAGGTTACACCACTTGGAGGTAAGTCTATCGCGTAACCCCCCTCCCCCTCATCGACTTTTATCAAATGAACAAAATCATATATGCAAAGGCTGGTGCCTACATTTACCAATCGACCGGAAATCGTATGTTGGTCACGCTTTCGGACGCATTGCACTAAACCAGTCTAAAAGTTGTAGCACTTTCCGTTTCGTTATCTAGGTTCAACAATTGAATTTGTTTTCATTCATCAAAGCAAGAAATTACGCTTCCAATCTGGAGAGAGCTTCTAAGCGCGCGGAATAAAACTGATTTAAATAAGAGTTTCAGAGAGCTAATCGGGTATAATTCAAGAGTAAACTCAAAGTGTCATAGGTCCGTACTTCATTTGATTTTAGTTTTCAGATTGTTCCTTGTTCCAATTCATGGTTTACCTCCACCCCCTTTATCCAGAGGAAGCTCTTGTCCACGATATCCTTCTTGGTTGATTTGAGTGGTTGTTCTTATAAGGATCGCGTTCACTTATTATAATGACCTAGGTAAATGCTTGATAGGAACGAATCCATAATGCTTTTATTTCCATTTTACTGCCTTAGTCAGGATAATTATAATTACTGCAATAATCAAGTTATATGGGCATTTACTTCCTTGCTTTAACGGCAATATTCAGTACGCTCAGTTGTATTTCAACACGAGTCCAGATTTTTCATCTGCCTGTTCACATATATTGTGTCATTCCCTTATTTTAGTGAATCGACAGCAATCTCCTTCATGCCAGATGCCCTCTTCCGCTCACGAATGAATGGAGATCCAGTTGTAAAGAGTATGCTGGAAGAGGATGAAACTGCGTACTGCTCCTGGAAGACGCTAAATCTCTTTATCGGCTCCTGGAATGTCAATGGACGTCAAGATCCACTTCTCAACCTCGACGACTGGATCAGACCACCGAAAGGAGAAGCACCGGCGGATATTTACATATTTGGGTGCGTTTGTTTTTCGTTTTTATTGAGATTTAATATCACCAAATTGCATTGTCCTTTTTCGATCAACCCAAATTTGCCCAAATTAGTTAGAAAAAGAGGAGTGTGATAAGCTTTTTGTGATGAAATACAATTCCTCCTCTTGCGTAAAGTACCGCTAATCCCATGGGCAAATATTCTTTACTAATCCATTCCAGCCTTTCTGGAAACCGGAAGACAAAGGATTGAGTTGGATCTCGTGTGTCTATTGGTCAGCTTGAGAGGAACGAGGGTGGTGGTAGGCGGGGTCATCTTCTTTTAAGGCACAGAGTGTTGCAGTAATTTAGTGTCACATAGGCAAACAGGTGCCCATAGGGAGAAAGGAGAAGGGTATCGAGGCAACGCCGAGAGTGGAGTCGAGGTTTTCAATGAGGCGTCTTTCAGTTGACTCTTGGAATTTAGCTGTAAAATTTTTGCCCATTGGATATTTCTCATCCCAAGGTAATAAAAAAGTGCATGAATCGAGTGCTGACTTTTATCCTCGTCCCCAATATCCACTGCTCATTGATCGATGTTGCCGATTCTATTCATTTCATCTTCACATCCTGTTTCTTTGTTAATTTCGCAGTCATACATCTTTTTAGAGAGTGAATTTCCGTGCCAGTAAGAAATCAAGTACTTAAAAAAAGCATTACGAGAAAATCATTTCTAAATTGTATACATATTATATTATATATATATATATATATATATATATATATTTTATAATTTCCTCCACCATTTACAACCCTCTCTTTCTCTCCCCCCCCCCCCCCCCCC